CTGATGCAGTGTTCAACGATAGTTGAATATCGGTGAATGTGTTGGGTGAAAGTCGACTCTCGAAACATGCCCTGGCAACTGCCATTAAGCCCGGTGCAAATTCTGTTTCCATCTGAAATTTCATGAGGTTTTATTGGATCGGTTGAGTTCGACTAAATCTTTTAGTATCTATATCACACCAACAACGGATCACTGCAAATCTCAATGCAAAATCCTTCTATCTCGGAAATCATGTTACTAGTCACTCTCTTATCAGTTGATGACTGCGATGAATGAACACTGTTTAATAAAATTGAGGTATTGTAATTTTGTATCTGCTCAACAGATTAATAATAACAATGATGATGCTATCATCAGGAAAGAAAGTTGTGGAAAATATTCCGAATCTGTGTGAAATTTCGTCATAAACTGATGAGAATTTTTGATGTTCATCAAAACGTTTTGATATCATCACAGAATTGAAGCGAGAATCGAGCTGACAATGAGATTACTTGTGCAGTAAGGGTGAAGAACCACTCATTGCCGGGATGTCTAGTGAATCGAAACGCTATCAACGATACATCTTCAGCACGAAACAATTCACTGCGCTCGTCAGCGATTCCGCATTTCGACTCAGTATTACACCTCTTCCAGTTGGCCAAACATGCAGATGCATGCACCACAATCGGTTTTAATCCAGTCCGATCGCTGACATCAATCAACGGTTGAGATATTTGTCGTGGTATTGATAGATGAGGCTGAATTGTGATATCAATGGATATGGGATATTCTTAAGATGAGCTCGGATTAAAAAACAGATTCAATCTGAAGCGATAAATCGAAATTATTGCAGTTATGGATTCATCATAACACCATTATCATTTTATGGTCAGTATCAATGGCTGTCGCCTTCAAACGTAAAATAACGTCAAAATACGTTGAAATTTCAAACCAAAAAAGATTATCTGAGCTATTCTTTAAAGAAAATCGTCGATTTTAGTATGGAATCGGTTATATTACTGATGCAATTCAGATTATATCATATGCGAAGAAATTGAGAATAACAAACGAATAAATGAATACAGATTAAAGGAAATCAATCTCGTTCAAGGATACTGAATGTCATTTAGAAGTGATGAAAATTACAAAACCCTTGATAGAAATACAACAATTTCAATACTTTTATCATATTTTAAAGATTGCAGAACATTTCTGTCAGTATTTAGCTAAAAGAAAGCGAAATCAATTTTTTTTTTGCAAATGATTGCAGTTATTTATGGTTGACGGACTCTGTACTTTAGTATAGAGCGTTCATTTTTCATGTTGATACATTGTATTGCTTTCGAATCACGCGTTCAATGAGAAACATCATGCGAAGAGAATGAGTGGAACACATGAAAAACCGTTACAGAAGAATGAGAAAATATCTTGACAGTACTGGAAAAGAATGAGAATTTTATGAACTGCCGATGAAAGATTGAGAGCGATTAGGTAGTCGTGGAAAAGAATGAGAATTTCCCAACAACAGGTTAATTCATACCAATTCATAATTCATATTAGTTGATAATGAGATTGCTTGGGGAATACATAGGGATATATTCCCTAAGCAATCTCATTAATCTATGTTTGGGAACATAAATGGTTCAGCATGTACTCGATTATCGCTGCTACAATTGAAAGGTTCATAGAATCGCACCTTATCTGAGCCTCTGTTCCATACGTATGCAGAAGATAACGTTACAAGTAATAGATGAGCTAAGCGTAATTCCTTATTGCTTTTCAGTTGGGTAGTGTCGATGATCGGTAAGGCATCGATTCGTTGCTCGATAGTCTGGGATTCCAGTAATTCCGGCAAAGCATCTGTAAGTTGAGGGACACATCGATTACTCATAGAAAAAGTAGAAATTGATATGACATCCTCAAATAATCCGTAAAGTCAAATCTCAAAGACAAACCATAATCGTTCGATAAGGGCAAGTTTAGAAAAACTTTAGTCTTGTCGAACCTACACACGAGATGAATACAGATGATCCTATTTGGGCAAGTAGCACTTAATATGTACCTACAGGTTGGGAACTGAAACCTAAAATTAAGATAGTTTCAAAATTTTAACTAAATTAGGAACAGCTCCATCATTTTCTTATGACAAAGCGCTAAAATGGAAATCAACGATCAGAAGTAGAACAAACAATCAACAAATGGGAAAATGAACATACCTACTATCTCTTGCCACGGTTTGAAGACATCGGGAAGTCGGGTGAGTGGATCGGGCAATACGAAACCGAGTTTTGGATCAACATGGAATTCGCTTAAAATGTCTTCGACACATTCTCCTGTCATCTTCGCGTATACATTACCCACAAATTGATTATGCTCTCGTCCGTTGACACAACGATGATATCTTCAAGCAACTCACTTGACAACTCTGAATAACAATTTTCTTTGATTGATTGCCCTAACCCATTCACATTATTTATACACTCCAGAGATTCTTTCGATCATCGCATTGCATACTAATTAATCACATCTAATAACAATCATAAACGATACGTGACAAATGTCGCAGAATTACACACTGAATCGATGATATAACTGAACTCGTTCGAAAATGATTTCGCGAACAATGTGTGCAGTAATGTTGCAAAAAACCACTCAATTAATTGAACCGAACAAAAAAAGTAATTAGGAGAGTTTGAGGTTAAGGTGTTATGCAAATGACACTGTTATTTTAAAGACCTACAAGTTTATTCAAGCGAACATGTGCTTTCGATAATAGTTGAAGTTCCCTGTAATTAGAAAATAGCAAATTTGAATCGATATTGTTTGAAGATTGATGTTATTTCGACGATCGGAAACCTGCTCGATTACAGCGAAGAATGTTTTCCAGCTGATTGTGAGCAAAGTTAAGGTATGAGATGGTCACCCGGAAGCATCCGACTTGATGAGTGCTCAGTATAAGTTTAGCATACCTCCTTGTTTATAATAATAATAATGATAAGAGTTTATAGAACCGAACGTATGCTATTTGAAATTCAAAATTTTGCTCTTTATCCATACCAACTTAGTGAATGAATATGTACTGAATATTCATTTTAATAGCCTGGAAGCATGCGAACTATCGGAAAAACCTGTAATTTCATACTACTTATGCTAGAATCCACTTCACCGAAACATTCAGGGATTTTCATTCAAGGACGTATTCGATTGTTTGCAACTTAAGAGTACCCGAGCTGATTAGCACAAGAGATTATTCATATATCCAGAACGGTATATCTGTTGCCTGAGTAAATGCTTTCTGAAATTCCATTAATCTATAACTGATCAATAGCAGATCAAATGAGTTGAATCGGCAATGTGAGGGAGTTCCACATCTGCAGATATGCGCCTTCACATGAAACCGAGATACCGAAATATCTTAAGCAATCGGGAGTCCTTTGGAAATGAATTCCTTTGCTCATAATCAGATTGCTTATACATATAAAGTAGCAAATAATCAGATTAGATAAGATTTGCGGTATATGTCGTTTTTGAAATTCAAAACTTATCCACTCAATGGACTTATTCGGTATGAAGCAAATTTATCGCGTACTCCATCTGATGAGATTTAAGATATGCATACAAATGCATTAAAGGGAACCGTTTTACCTATGCAGTATCTCATTAATCACTATTGTAAACATTACATTTCTTGCAGTCATTAATAACAGCAACAACATTAATATTGTAATGCGGAGTTATTCGCTCGTTCGTTTCGTATCTGTCATTATTAATATGCCTATGAATTATTATTATTGCTGCTCTCGACAGTTTTATCAAAAGTAATGTCATCGTTTTCATTATTCGCATCACAGTTACTGTTGTTTTTCAGCAAAGGATAATCGAAATTTTCAGCAAAGGATAATTTTCGGATAAAAAACTGGGTAATTTTGTCTCTTAGGTTGGTAAAATGAAAACGGCATTTCGTTCATACTCGCAGTTGAATATGTTACTTAAAGCACAATAAGAAATGTTCGCACGAACGAAATGCTGTTGTAATTTTACCAACCTCAAATAAAACATTACCAAATACTGAATTCGAATCACACGCAATGAACTGTAAGCTTCAGCATCGCTTGATGATACTGGGCAATCTCCGATCTTCCATATAAAATAGAGCAATTTCCCTTAAACACGTTATTGTTGACGAATTTGGACTATGAATTCGTTGGACTTGATCTGTACTGACGGAAGTTTGTTTCGAAACGGGGATTAAGTCTCGATAAAGGCTATACCAACAAACCGAATGGTAAGTAGCCGTCGTCTGATAGTCAGCCGTATGTTTGCTTTGCGTATTCGAAAATTAGGAAGGAAGATTCCAGCGAGTGAATAAGATATGAATGTGTTTGATTCTCACACTTACTTGAACTCAGGTTAAGCTGGCTGAACGAACGATGCGTAGAATATAAGTCGTTCACAGTTAAGTCGATCAGTCGGTCGGTCGGTACTGTGAAGTTTTCTTTCCGTTTGCATTTGTTCATAGCACTGCTAATCCGCTACTCTTGGGACTACTGTTGTCCACAATCACAAATAAATAATCAAACAAATAATGAAAGGAATGGATAATTTGTCTCATTGAATGAATAGATGAATGAATAAATATTTGTTAACGGATATAGCTCTGTAGATGAGCTCAACTCCAGCGATGAGCGATCGTGTGATGAGAAAAGCAGTCGGAAGTATTTCCGTGAATCGTGATATTCTTGAGAGTTCAGTAACTTTCCGAAATCCTGAGTTGTTCAACCATGTATTTCTTGGTTCTCTTTTTTTCTGAGTGATCCCGTTATATCCCCTGAATACGAAATACCTTACGAATTCGACCATGTCTCCAGAATTAAGCACTCCCCATCTCA